AACTCTAGGGCGCGGTGCTCATCCCCATTTCCAAGTCATAGAGCCAGCGTTTGTCCGTAGACAGTTTCCGAGGTCATGTGGCCAGCATGACTAGACATAGAACGCCGTTACCTTCCCACCATGGTGGTGCCTATTTATCTACTCGCATTTACATGCTTTAGAACTGCTAAGTTGTAAATAAGGAGAGCTATCATGAGGTGCTGCCGGAGACACCTAAGACATTTTGCTGTCCGGAGCAGAAGAACAAATGCTGTTCTTCCCAGCAAAATCATGGTATGTAGTATTCAAAACTAACAAAATTATTTTGGCACCAAATACTGAGAATCCTACAAGCAGCTTTCTCAATCTCCCTGGCTGAATGAATGAATGAATGAATGAATGAATGAATGAATGAATGAATGAATGAATGTAACATTAATTAGTAAGTCGCAATTTGCCATCTTTTGTGATACCAAACTTGAGATCATAGTGTAACTCTGCCTAACGGTAGGGTTGGCCCAACATAAGTGAAGCAAAAGCTCTAGATAGTTGTATTAAACATCGTATTTGGGGAATTCCTGGTATGGATGACTGAACTCTTGAGGGAAGTGTAGTTGTTTTATGGCATATGGAAGTACAAGTCACATTTGAGTAAAAACCAGCCCATGATATTTTAGGCTGAACTACATATCCTAAGAGAAGTACTCCGCTCCAGTTTTCTTGCCAAGAATCCATTCCTGTTGTGTCTTCTTGAAATGCAGTCTTGAACTTCATTGCTAATTTATGAACAATACTTGTTCTCCAGTATCAGGTTATCCAGAAGGCAGGAACTCAACCAGAAAAAAAAAAGAATTAAACAAAGATTCAGACCTAATAATTGTACAGGAATACATCAAGATCAAGAAGACCTTCTTGTTCATGAAAGCCCTGAGGCTATACAAGAGGCATTTATATGCCTTTCGGTCTAGATTAGAAATTTGGATTGTGTCAACTTATCACTTAACTGTTCATAGCTACCATTTTGACAGCAAGAAAAATGGCCTTCTACATTTATTTATACAGCCCTGTATAGTCTAATTTTCTTGACAATGTATTTTTCAATGCTTACTTTTCTGCTATGGGACTAGTGCAAAGGTTGGAACTGTAATCAATTTGTACCGGTAGTGGAGTATAAACAACACATTGTTAGAAGCTGTTCTTAGTTTTCCAGTCACATTCCAGAGGCACAATTCTTTCAGAGCTTGTCGCTGGGCGGCCGAGACTTGAAAATGAACCTGTTCACCTTGCAGTGACCAGTTACAGAAAAAAGCAAGTTAATTGGTAGCATACTGAAGATTTTTTTAAAAAAAGTTCGTACAGTGACAAACAGAAATTTTTCAGTGGTTATGGAATTTCTGATTCTGGCAATATAGGCTAATATAGGCTATTTCAATCCTGAGATGCTGAACTTGATTATCTGTTTGAGAGCTGATAGTGAGATTTAATGCAAGCCTGTGCATGAATTTTCATAAGTAACTCCCACTCTATTTAATGGGTCTTAACACAGCAACAAGCCAAACTGGTATAGAGGGCAGTGTTGGATGAGGATTTAGGAGACCCGGGTCAAAATCCCCACTTGGCCACTGAAATTCATCAGAGAGTGGCAATGGTATGCCACTCCTTGAACATCACACATATGTTAGAATCTCTTTTAGGGTCACCATAATTTGGAAGTGACTTTATAGGACATGGTAACAATAAAGCAGCATCTTTACAGAACAAACCAGCACCTGTTTCCAACAATAATCAGTTCAATGCTGCTTCATCACTCACAAATAAAGTCTAACACTGAAATATTTTCCCAACTGTTTGATACACCAGTGGCACTCAAAGCATTATTGCATTTGCAGAGCTTGGAGAGTTACTTTTTTTAAAAAAATAATTAGTTAAAATTAGTTAAAATAAATGTACTACCTAATTTGTTGATATAGTTTGCAGGTTTACAATTTTTACGGTATTCCTCCTATTTTTAAATGATGTCTTTACTTTCCCATTTGATAAAAATATTGAGTACTTTCTAGTTACTTAAAAATCTGAATGTTTAAGAAACTGGTCTGTACTACAAAAAGCACTCTCCTCTCGTAGTGAATTTACAGTTCAATCAAGTGATACTCCTGCTTTACCATTTAGTGAGTCCAGTGATAAATATAATTATAAAATTGTGGTTACTTGATAAAAGGAATTGGGTTATTTTGCATTTATAACTGTAAGATAATGTAGTTGTACCTTAGTTTTGGGAAGGTAACTATTTACAATTGATTGATTGCCTGTACTTTGTTACTTCTGTGCTGTGATGCATAGGGATTTCATTTATCTGTAATTTTTTTTTGAACCCCACAACTTACTCTTCATGAATTTGCTTAATCCTGTTTCTAAAAAGCCATCTGTACTTTGGGATGCCATGACACCAAAATTTCTCATGTTTTTCACAAACCCGAAGTTACATATTAGCAATCTTCAAGGTTTCAGGATACAAATGTGCTTGCTATTTTTTCCCTCTCGAACAGCCTTTTAAAATAAACAATATTAAAATTCACGAAGCCTTTCACGGCTGGGATCTAATGGTTGTTGTGGGTTTTCCGGGCTCTTTGGCCGAAAACACGGCCAAAGAGCCCGAAAAACCCACAACAACCAATATTAAAATTGGTCAGCTTTTAAAGATTAATATTCAAAATTGATTCCCACTAAGTTCTTTGCATACGATAAAACTTGTAGCTAAGGTAAGATGGAAACAAAGTACAGAGAAAGGCTAAAGAATAACAGCTGTAAGAACTTAGTTTAAAAAAATCATGAAAATATTTTTCACAAAAATGTTTTCTGTGGAGCAAAACTTTATACAGTACTGCTCAAAATGCAGGGGGGGGGTTTGGTACAACATTTATGCTAATTCTGAAGGTGCTGGTCTTTTCACTCTTGTGCAGGAGTGAAAATTATCCCAGTAATTGACCATTTCTTCAATAAAGTGGATTTTTTTGTCAAGGATCAGAATATTTGTGACTATGCATTGTTTCCTTTCTACATACACTAATGAGATGGTGGAAGAAACGACAAAAAGGCAGCATCATGTTGTGTAATAAAGGTATTCTTGGGAACTCCCTGCATAATATTGTTCCCAGAAGATTACTGGACAACAGTCTCAACAGTATTACCAAGGATATTGGCCTCTGTTTAGAGAACCAGTCACTAAACTCTAAATCACTTTCTCCTCAACCCTGAAATACCAGAAACATGTAAGACATTGGATGCAAGACATTCTTTATACATCTGATAGCCTTTTCTGAATGTGGGAGGGCCTGGAAATATCACAGTGAGTTAAACACTGGGGATTATGAAGGAATATGTATCTTTGCCCTTCACATAGTAGTATAGTACAGCTTACTAATATATATTTAATGTTGTCACAGACTGTTTAAAAATAGTAGTCAAATTTTGAATGTTTCTCAATGTAACTTTATGTCAGTATGTGTTTAATGTTGCATGGAAAAGAGACCAACATAAAATGCAGAGCTTTGGGGGTGGGTGGGACACTTTTTCAGAGTTTTTTGCTGTCTACATGGCTCCATGAGACTGCTGTAGGGCAGTCTCTGTCAAACGTCCCCTCCCCCATTTTCATGGATGACAGTTCTCTTAATCCCTGGTCATTGGCCATGCTGACTAACCTGATAAGAACTGTAGTTCAATAATTTCTGAAGATCCTAGGAGGCGGGGAAGGTGGCCTATTCCTGTCTTGACTAATAAGACTAAAACGTTAGAAATATTCACAGCTGTTGACTATTATATCTTTGGATGACCTTATCCTTTCTGAGAATCCTCCATGAAACTAAATCACTAGCAATGATCATCTTCAGGAGCAAATCTGAGAATAGAGAAAGACACCTACTAAATTTCATGTCTGTTAAGTTGTTGTTCTGTGTGATGTTTTGTGTTGTATTATTTTGGTACTATGTGTGTGTGTCCCCAGGGTCTGCCAGGCTTCCCCACAGTTGCTGCCCTTCACAGTAATCAGATCCTCACCGTCAAGGTTTGTGGATGACACATACCAGCTAGCCAGTCTTTCCATATCAACATAGAAGTGTCATGAATAATTGGTTTGCTTTCAGAAGGTGGTCCATTTGGCCTACACATTCTGTGGCTGATTGGGACCACACTGCACTAGCAGTTGGATTGAGTCCTTTTAGGCTAATGTTTCCAACATACCTGGGCATGTGTGGTTTCCAGAAGCATTTATTCCAGTAACTGCTCATACTCCAAGAAGAGGTTGCCTTATCCCACAATGAGACCTGAGCCTCATCTACCTTGCATTTTGGATCTCAGTACTGTACCACCCATATGTATTTCTCAGCAAAAGCAAAGTTAAACTGCATTGTAATTTCCTTATAAACAGCATGTAAAGTTCAGAAAGCACTGGATGAACTTGTATCAAAAATCCTGATGAAAATAGGAACCCATGACTTTTGACTGGATAATTTCCTGCTTTGAATTTTTTGAAATTTAAGCAGAAATTACTGTATATATCTATGGATCAGCAACCTCAGTTTATACTGCAGTAGTGGCCCTATTGTTCATGGCGCAATATGGTGTTTGGGAAGTCTGACTGAAAGCCGAACTGGTGCTTTGTCTCTTGGAATCTTTGCTTATGAAATGGAATAAAATGGTTATGTGTAGATCTTCCAGATTCTGAGGAAGTTCAAAAATTAGAGTTGCAAGCTGCATTTAGGAATGAGCTTGACTTGGATTGCTTTTTATTTCATAAAATGGTAATCTAATGAAGGTTCTCTCTCCTATCTTTTAAAACTGTTCGATAATTCCATTTTTTAAACTTGCACAGATTCTTTTATTAGACACAAGCACCAGTTGGTTATTATATTTGCTGCTACAAATCTAATGTATTTGTTTCTATTTCTTTCTCGGGGCCTTCTGATGTCTATTCTTCAACTCTTTCACCTCTGAACTTCAACCTTTGACCTCACCTGCCTGCTCAGATGGTGTTTCCTAAAATCAATCATGGGTTTCTCTCTGCTGATCAGCAGCTCATTAAACGCCGCCTCATTAAGGTAGTGCTTAATCTCTCTTTCCACCTTTGCAATGCTCTTGCTTGGGGCTGTTTGCTGAATTGCAAATATGGCTGAGCCACTTTGCTATTAATGAAGTGTTTTTGTTGTTGTTTATAGAAAGAGTAATATTAAACTGTATAGAACTTTGCTGTAAATTGCATAATTAATTGTATCAACTGTTTGCTGCTCACCTTTTTCACTGGAAACTGGACAAAAATTAGTCTTTTTGAATGCAAGTGATTGTGATTCAACAGTTCATTATCCAACTAGATTAAATTACTATGTGGATATGTTGAAGCTGTAAATATTGCTTCTCGGTGGTCACTGTAAAATGGATGCTAAAAAGAGATAAAGTATTATTGGCATTTGCTTGATAGGCTGAAAAGTACCATACAGCTTTTTGACTCAAGTGGTTATATTTCTGTGTCACTTTAGAATTCAGTTAGTGCTTGCTGAGCTTCATAAACCTGTTTATGAAAGCTGCTGTAAACTGTAAACTGTAAGCTGCTGTAAAAGCTTTACAACCTTTTTGTAAGTCTAGTGATTCAGTCTTTAACAGGAAAATGATAACCAAGTAAAACATTCCCCCCCCCCATAAACACATTGGTGGAATTTTCCAAATATCCCTGAATTAGAAAAGGTTAAACTTTTCTGTATATTCCTCAAATGCAGAAATTAAATGTTACTACCGTATTTTTCCATGCATATGACCCTCAAATGTATAAGACAACCCCGTAATTTTGTCCCTTGCTGGAGGCGGAGCAGCAGTCAATGGACAGCCATGAGGGGCTGCCCGTGGACTGCTGCCATCGCCGGTGCCGCCAGATCACCTCCTCCAGCGCCACTCGTGGGCTCCCTTCAGTTAGGGGACAAGGCGGCAATGTGAGCTGGAGGTGAGCCCTGGCAAATTGCACTGGAGGATGTGATTGGACTGAAATTGCACTGGAGGATGTGATTGGATGGAAATTGCACTGGAGGATGTGATTGGATGGCAGTGGCAGCAGTTCAATGGGCAGCCATGAGAGGCGGCTGAGCACCGTTGCTCCTTTGCCTCCACCTCTGCCTCCTTCCGTGTATAAAACAACTCTCAATTTTTCCTCTAATGATTTTAGTGTCGTTTTATATACAGAAAATATGGTAATTGAGGTTGCCGTAGTTATTGTCAGTGTACTTGTGAGATACATTAATACACATTCTCTCTTGAATTGTGATGCAATTCACGATGTTGTAAAAACTATGCAAAAGCATGCTATATGTGCAGTTCTAGGTTGTGTTGTCTTTCTAGGCCTGTGCATGAGATTTGGATGCTGTCAGTGGATCCAGAGCCTGCGGGACTATCCCAGTGAAAATGGCTGATATTTTGCCCTCCCTACACATCTTCAAACACATTAAACATCAAATGCACACAGAGCACACTGGAATAAATGAAATAGAAAGCTATAAAACATGGATAACTGAAGCCAAATGCTTGTCTAAGAGTATTCATAGACAGCTGACCAGCTTAAGTTCATTGTGTTCCTCACTACTGCCTACATCTCAGAATCCGGCAGAGCACCAAACAAATGTTTGTGAGTGGGAGGCCTGAATTCACTTCCCTCACTTCTGTGAACAGGTGGCTGGTACTGTGCCCTCAAAGATTTATAATCCGCATGTGCAAGTTGTTCTGCATGTAACTGAACTGAGACCTTGTTTGGCAAACGTTTTGAATTATTTTTCTCTTCTACAAACTTCTTCTTGAAACGTTGCATCTCTCTTTAGCTGAATACTTGTGTGCTAATAGCCAAAAGATGCATACTAATGCTAATTTTGCTGACTGGTGTTAAGGGAGATCAAGGACAAGCTGGACCTCCCGGGCCTCCCGGGCCCCCAGGACCAAGAGGTCCACCTGGAGATACTGGCAAAGATGGACCCCGAGGAATGCCTGGTGTACCAGTAAGTCAATCTTTAATGTACATTAGCATTATAGACTTAGATAGGCTGTGTGTGGCTGTAAAGTATTAATTAGTTAATTGTGGCTAGGATGCTATTGAGCACACTGTTTGTGCAATTCTCAGTTCCAGCAGCAGGCCTACTTTATACTCATTTGCATAAAGAAGCATCCAAGACCTCTTTCAGAAAAAGTTCCCAGCTGTTGAGAAATAGTCTGGTGAGTCAATTGGTCCCACTGGCATATGGACTGGATGCTTATCCGGCACCCAAACAAAACTTCACCTGTCAAATACTGCAGCTGCCGGCTGACTCCTCCTTCCCTCTCTGTTGGGTCACACATTTACACTGGTGGGATTTTAGCTGCACCAATATTCAATATGATCTAGAGTAGTAGTTCCTAACCTTTTTTGAGTTGCGACCCACTTTTATTATAGCCAAGTGACCTGGTACCCCACCACCACATTTGCATAAAAAGGCATTTCTTGTGGGGGGGGCAGAAGTCATCCTTTTTGGGGAAAGAGAGGTGTCTTTTTCCTCCCAAAGGGCCTGTTTCTCACATATACACATGCAGGACAACTTTAATATGCCACTCTGAAAGGTCAATAAATAAATTATTAAACAAAGACTACAATACATATAAGGTGATTGGCGGCCTTCAGAAAACACTTTGTGACCCCCCCCCAATGGTCAAAGCCCCCAAGTTGGAGGACGCTGATCTAGAGCCATACCCATTTAAAACCGTCTTGTTTGTTTGTTTATAATCCACCTTAACACTAAAAGATAGCCCTCAAGCTGACTTGCAGACTGACTTTTATCACATAATGGTATTTACACAGATAACATTTTGTATTTAAGGGTGAAGCAGGAAAGCCAGGGGAACAAGGCTTGATGGTAAGTCCTAATTTCTTAAATCTGTTACACTGAAAGATAAGAAATCATGTGTTTTTTCCCCTCCGTAATTTCTCATTTTGCTGGAAGTTATGTACATTACTATTTGTGAAGCCCCTCGGAGTTACAAGGCCAATCAGTTCTCAAAATTGACTAAAGTGACAACTTCTCTAAACAACAATTTAAGAAAAATTTTAAAGTTCTTTCTCCTACAACAGAAGGAAAAGACTGTCCCTAACTTTGATAAGACTTTTGTATTCATTTAAGGCAGTACTTAATTCAGTAATACTTAAGGTTTGGTGAGAAGGTTAAACATTTTTAAATCCTTTCAAAAATATAACATATATAACTTTTTCCCCCCTGGTAGAATCATACAGCTTCATGTTTCTGTCTGAGGTTCTGTGGTTCTTTTTTCGCCAGTATTCATTGTTACATACAGCTATGACATCACCTGCGCGTCATTGCTGAAGCTGTGTGTCATCTGCCAATGGCGTGACGGAGGGTGGGACATAAGGGGGGGAGCTGTTGTATATAAGGGGAGTGAATGGTGTGAGAGATTCAGATAGGGCCAGATAGGGCTTGGAGATAGGGCCAGATAGGGCTTTGAGATAGGGATGGTTAGGGCTTGGTGATACTGAGAGATAAGAACTGTGCTACATAGTGAGGGTCTGTGAGAGTGTGTGTGTGATTGTTATATTATTATAGTGATTGCTTTATTATTTATATTCAAGTGATTTACCATTCCTTTTGTTTGTATACAATAAACCTAAGTTTTTATTTTGAAATCATACTTTGGCCTGAAGCTGTATTTGAGGGAATGGTTGGTGGCAGTGGAAACGAAGAGTGATTGAGTGTGATGTAACGGCCCCTTTGTGAGGTAGGCCTCTGGCTTCAGATTAATTATTAAGGAGTTTGCTGTCTTTCTGCAATTTGGGCAGGGCTGGACAGAAGTGTGATAGTCTTTAGCAATTACCAGCATTCAAGGGTAATCTTAATAGGCATCCATGGATCCTACTTTATTTTAACAAGGAGACACTTGAAATTTTGAAACACAGAATAAGCTTTGCTGGATCAGACTGTCCATCTCAGCTGAAACCCTGGTTTTTACAGTGCCCAGGTCAACATTTCTAGGAAATCTATGAGCAGCTTGGGTTTAAAAAAGGTCAAGCATAGCTATATTTCTAAAAACAATTTCCATTTTTTTATGATCAGATACACTGGCAACTGCTGGATAGCTCAGTGGTTTAGGCCTCTGGCTTCAGACCCAGAGGTTGAGAGTCCAGTTCCCCACTGTGACACCTTGACAGGGACTGGACTTGATGATTCATAGGGTCCCTTCCAACCCTGCAGTTCTAAGATTCCAAAGCCTGATAAAATATGGCATGAAAGTGAACCAAATGTACAGTGGTGCCTCGACTTATGAACGTGGCATGAAAGTGAACCAAACGTACAGTGGTGCCTCGACTTATGAACGTAATCCATTCCAGAAGATGGCCGTAACTCGAAATGGTTGTAAGCTGAAGCACCATTTCCCATAGGAATGCATTGAAACACAATTAATCCATTCCAGCCGGGGGCGGGGGAAATCACCTCCCCCCCAAAAACCACCGCAAGATCCATCAGAAACGCGATTAATCCATTCCAGCTGAAGGGAAAAAAACCCCAAAATTAAACAAACCCTGCAAGAACCATCGGAAATGCAAAACAAAACAAAACAAAAACAAAAAAGCAAACAAACCCTGCAAGACCCATCAGAAATGCTGAAAAAAAAACAACCCCCAAAAAACGAAGACTTCAAGACCCATCACAGCACAGAAACATAACCCCCCCCAGCCCAAAACCACACTGCAAAACCCACCCAGAACAGGCAGTTTTTAAAAAGCAGAAAGCAGCACCTTGCTAGGCGAAGCCTCCTCCAAATGCACACTCTCTAACCACTGGGGCAAAAGAGCTACGAAGAAGCAGCCTCTTCGCCCCAATGGTTAGCAGTTTGAATTAAGCGCCTTTTTCACTGTCTTTTTTCCGATTGTAACTCGAAGCTCCGGTCGCAAGTTGAATCAAAATTTTGCGGCCGGAGCTGGTCGTAACTCGAATTGGTGGTAAGTTGGGACGTTTGTAAGTTGAGGCACCACTGTATAACTATGTCCTGTTGAAGTGGGTTCCAGTTTAGGCAATCTTTCCAGAGTTTTCTAGACATAAATTATTGAGAAGTAGTTTACTAGTCCCTTATTCTGTTGGTATTTGGGGGGGAGGAGTGTAGCTTGTCCAAGGCCATACAGGTGGTATGCTTGTAACCCAAATAAAACCACACAGCTGGGTGACTTCAGGTGGTCCCTCTCCCAGGAAACACAGCCCAGACAAAGGGATACAAATGGAAGCTATTGTTTTCAGGGGAAGTGATCAGGCAATTAGGCCAGAATGCTCCCTTTTTCCAACAAGCCATCATAGAATTTTGGCTTGCTGTTCTATGCAAACATAGTCACTTTGACAGCTTTAACTTCTATTAATTTTATTCTTTGCTCAAAACTGAAGATTATGAATGGAGCATAGATGCTAAAACAAATGATATACACTGTGCTATCTAACTGTCCAGTTAAGTTCTCTGCCTTGATATATTAAAAGTTAGAAATTTCCATTGTACTCTCTGGGAGGCTGTTTTGTTGAAAGGCAGAGCAGGAGAGGAAGTCATAAATAGATCGCAAACAGATTATCTGCAATGGCTTCATGGCTCAAAGTGCCAAACTTCCCTTATACCCACTGCCACAGGAGAAATCCTCCAAGGACTATGACTTCTGTTTGGCTCAAACCAGTGAGCTGGAAGCTCACAGGATAAAGAGCACTTGTCAGTATGAATAAATAGTGAAATGTGTTTTTGAGGTAGGTTTTAATTACAATTGGCATATCCAAGCACAAATGCTGGAGGCAGCCACTTTGCTGAGGAAAAAAAGTGATATATTGTGTGATTCATATGATACAACCACTCAGGCAGTATTATTGGTTGTATTATTGGTTCTTTTTTTCTTTTTTTCCTTTTTACCCCCAGAGTTCAAGATTTCTTTTTTTTAGAGTTCAATTATTTATTTTTTTATTTTATGTATTTAAACATAAAATACATCAACCAAAATACAAATCGACTATGTCCCTCACCACCATAGTCAGGACCTCTTGCAGTAATCCTCTTCTTCCTCTATCTTTATTCTTCTTCTTCCTTTATTGTCCTCTTCTCCAGAACTGCATTGATTCTTGATTTGGAGCTTTCCCTTCTCCTCTTGTTAGCACATATTCAAGAAATTTGCCCTATATATCATAGAAATTATTCTTTTTCATTTCTACTTTCTTAACCTTTAAGTTACAAGTTAACTTATCATTTATAGTAATGTTCCATATTTCATTATACCATTCTTCCATTGGAAATTCAGACTTTGATTTCCAGTTCCTAGCTATTATTAATCTAGCTGTTGTTAATAAATTCGTAATCAATTCTCTAGTCATCTTATCATATTCCACATCTCAAATATTGATAACAGAGCTATCTCAGGATTAAATTCTGTATCTTTTTCACATATGTCATTTAGTTGTTTAAAGATTAGTTTCCAAAATCTTTGTACTTTTTTGCATTCCCACCACATATAAAACTATGTACCAATTTCCTTCTCACATTTCCAAAAGACGTTCAGATAACTAGCGTTAATTTTATTCAATTATCGGTTCTTAAAAGTCTCATATTTTACATACATTTCAGATACATAATAGTCGCTGAAATGCTGTTGTGCAACTTTGCATGTGCAACAGAACTAATGTCATCATGAGTGGCAAATCACCACTAATTAAAAGCAGTTTCTGGATGCATACAACTTGTATACAATGTGATGAAGTCACATGGACTTTGAAATAGCCAAAGGAAGCCTTTAATCAGAAGCAATCTGCTGTCGCTGCTGATGTCATCACCACTGCACATATGGAACTACACAACAGAATTTCAACCTTTATATTTTAACTCTTCAGTAGTTATAGAAAACAGTGGGCTACCACATTTGGCTGTGCTGATGTGTAACCTATACCCTGGGCAAGAAGCTATGGTCAAAACAGAATATAGAGAAATATAATGGTTTTAAGTTGGCATAGATGTGAGATGATATTGTACCTCCTTATCTGTTCAGACTTTGTGATGGATTAGATTCAGATGAAGGAGGAATGAAGATAGTGGAAGAAATATAAGTAATATCAGAAACAAAGAGACAAAAATGTTATGGCACTTTGAAGACTACCTGTGCCACAACATTTTTGTCTGTCAGTAATATAATTTTTGAAGGAAGTAGCCATGTTAGTCTCTGCAACCATATTGGAGAAAACAACAACAAAAATGTCTCTTCATTTTTTATTTCTGGGTTTTGTTTTGTTTTGATCTGGTATCAGTCATGTAAAATATGCAGGTAACACCATGTTAGAAGAAGAAAATAGCAATAAAACAGCTGCTGGTGAAAGTTTAAAAAGAAAGGTACAAAACAGGATTACAGCTGAACATTAAGAAGACAAAACTCATGAATACAAAAGAATTACACAACTTTAATAACTTGACAGTGAAGAGACAGAAATTGTTAGGAATTGTTTATACCTTCATTTAGTCATTAATCAAAATGGAGACTGCTGTCAAGGAATCAGAAAAAGACTGAGACTTGAAGGGCAGCTTTTAAGAAACAAGCAAATTGTTAGGATGTCTGGCATGAGACCAAGGCTATGGTCATTCATGTTACAGTATTCTTAGTATGTGTGGGTGTGAAAGCAGGACAGTGAGGGGAAAATTGAATTATGGTGTTGGAGGAGAGCTATACATATGTCATGAACTGCCAGAAAGATAAGTGTGTTCTAGATCTAATCAAGTATCAACTCTTATAAAAACTTAAATTACCCAAATGAAGCTGTCATGCTTTAGACATTGTGTGAGAAGACTAGACACACTGGAAAGCCCAATACTGTTGGGAAAGTGGAAAGCAGTAAGAAAGGAGGAAGGCCAAGTATGAGACAGATTGACCCAATAAACAAAGCTGTGAATTTAAGTTTGCAAGATCTGAGCAGTGCTATTAGCAACACTATATGTTGCAAGCAAGTTCACAGCACATAACTATAGATTATACAAATACCTAATTTATTTCCAGCAAATTATCTACCAGTTTGATAGGGAATCTTCTTATCCTTCCATATTCATACTCATTTGCTTTGGAAAGTGTACTATAAGTTGGAACAGTCCCTTCTGAACGTCTGTCAACGATAGAGAGAGGAAGCAGTCTCCTTCATGTTAAGACAATCCAATCTGGCCATTGCTTTGATTGGCATGTCACAATCTTAGTAAGGAGGAAGGACAGATTTTGCTAGGCAACCTCTTCCATCCCACTTCCCATGTTCCTTTCTACAAGATCTGTAGAAAAACCTTGGCCATACTGTGATGGGTATCCTCTGCTTTCTTCCTAATGTAGACATTGGGTGGTCCCACTGGTGGCTGAGAATAATAATAATATAATAATATTTTTCCATCGCCAGCACCATGCATTTGTGTCTGTCATTTTTTGGCAATGTATTTTAAGGTGCCAGCTTAGATGTGATGATATACAAAGATACATACAGTACCAAAATAAGAAGTTACTTTTGGTCCACCTACTCTAGTAATCTGGATGTTCAATGATGTCTAGTTTCAGGCAGGATTCTTTCCTAGTCCTGCATGTGTAGCCTGCATAATTAACTTATAAACCACTCAGAGAGTGCCTTTTTAAAAATATTAAAACAGATTCAGTAATAATTACATATAATACACATTGGGCTATCCCAACCAACGCCACCTTCACTGTTGGGACTAGGTGACCAGAAGTATCAGTTTACATCCCTTTTCATGCTGTACCTCTCCAAAAATACATTGATTCTTTTGCTGGCATACAGATTTCCCTCCTCAAAAAAATTGCTCCAAATATGAATTCCATTCATCTTTAAAATCATTAAACTTTATCATTCCTCTTCTTATTTTCATTTCACATGTTAGCTTATCATTAATCGCTAAACTCCACATTTCTTTGTACCAATCTTCAAGATTAATTTGTTTGGTTGTTGTGGGTTTTTCAGGCTCTTTGGCCGTCTTCTGAAGGTTGTTCTTCCTAATGTTTCGCCAGTCTCTGTGGCCGACATCTTCAGTGGACTGGAGTCAGAACTGTCTGTGCTCTGAAGATGCCGGCCACAGGGATTGGCGAAACATTAGGAAGAACAACCTTCAGAACACGGCCAAAGAGCCCAAAAAACTGACAACAACCATCAGATCCCGGCCGTGAAAGCCTTGGAGAATACATTAATTTGTTTGTCACTTTTCCAATTCTTTGCAAATATTAATCTTGCTACTGTAACCATTAAAACAGTGAACTCTTTCTATCCTTTTTTTTAAGATGGTCATTCTTAATTATATTTAGGAGGGCAATGATTGGTGATATCTGTAATTTCTCTAATTTCCTTAAAAACCAGTGCCCATTGTTTCTTTCTTATTTCACATGTTCACCACATATGCATATAAGTCCCTGTTTTCTTTTTGCATCTCCAGCAATGAGATGGTATATTTTTATTTATTATGTTCAATCTTACTGGAGTAAAGTACCAGAGAGTGCATTGAGCACTGTGGGGCAGTATGTAAGCAGCACACTTTGCTTTTTACATGAAGATGCAGGAGATTGATTCTAAAACCTTCTGCACACAAAGCATGTGCTCTAGCACTGAGCTACATCCCTTATCTAGTATAGTACCTGGCATTCCTTGGTAGTCTCCCATCCAGTACTCACCAGTCTTTGGCATTTGAAATCAGGTGAGGTCAGGTGTGTTCAGGGTAATATGATGGAATATTTTGCTGGACATTCCTTGATGCCTCCCACTCCCTTTTGCCAGAGACAAACATTACAGTATATGATAATTTGAAGAGAGAGATTTTCTTAGATCTTGGATTTAAATCTCCATTTTAAAAAATAAAGTCTCCACTCTTTAGCTCTTAGATATGACAATGAACAAGTTCCATACATAGAAGTTACTCATGTGGATGAAGGTGTAAACATCATCCTAGGCCAGGTATTAAGTGGTTGAAAATGCCAGGCGTCTCCCCATCCTAACTGCTGCAGCCACACAGTCAAAAAAGCAGTCTAATATGCCCTAGTTGCTTACATGTTCTATTCAAAAAATACCTCCTTGCTGTTTTTTACAATGAAAACATGCTATTTACAAACATGTGTCACACAAACATATAAAGCGAAAAGCACAAGCCACATTTTATCAGACGTTAAAAGCAGAAAAACTTCCCAAAGAATAATAGGCCTGTGGGTGTCAGTAGTTGATGGGGAGGAAGTGCAATATAGGATGATTACTCCAGGAAAAGGCAGGAATTGAATTAATGCAGCCTGTGGTTGATGGTGAAGTGATGGTAAAGAGAAAAGAAATGTATCTGTTGTACTTTTGCAGCAGATATATGTATTTTCCTTGTTGTGCGAAAGCACCAGCTGAGTAGTTCAGAAAAGGTTGCCCAATGGGACTTTTTTAATTGGTCATTTAAACTTAAATTAAATGTATTATTATGCTAATTGAATTGTTTTCCCTTTCTAGGGGCCTCAGGGGCCTCCAGGACAAAAGGTATAGTATAAACAAAGCTGTGAATGTGGTTATACTTTTCTCATGCCAAACTGGGAGCTGTAGGAATAAAGGGCATTGGTTACTGTACCCCTCATGGAAGCAGTTGCTTTAAAGCTCTGTTTTTCCAAAATAGGTCAACATAATACAAGATGTTAAGTAACTAATTCCCACCCACCCTTACATTGTTATTCACAGGGAATCCAATCAACGGCTAGCAAGAGTTGTATTTAATGCATCTATTGAACTTGCAGGTTAAAAAGAATTGCTTTAATGTGCTAACCTGAACACTTGTTGAAGATGAAACCAAACTCTAAACATTGTAGGAAGTGTAGCTAGAATTTCAAGTGGGAAGCATGGTCTTATTCAAATAGATCACTGCCATATGTCCAAAAATGGGGGAGGGGGGGTCAAGAGAAACAAAGGATTCTAGGTGTTACTGATAAATGGGCTTGGGGACTGGCCAGTGTCTTCCTATTTCTGTTGTAAGCTGAGAACTAACTTCCTGCAAATGCTTCCGTTATTATTTACACACACCAGGGTTGATGGCTAGCACTTGATAGAATGAACCCACAATTTATGGACTGCGCTATTAGACCAGTGCTAAATTTATCAGGCATAAAAACATATGAGATGGATTTTTGCAGACCGTTGGCTTACACCCCCGTTCCACTCTCAAACTATCAACAAAGCCAAATTGTTCTAAGAGCTGTTTCAAAATGATAAGTTATTATAAGAGCTGTTTCATAAAACATAATGTTCAGCAACAAAAACTGAAGGAAGCAAAGAAGAAGAAGAAGATATTTACAGGTGGGAAATCTTCTGTTTCTAAGTCACAAGTGGAACTGCCGTTTTTAAAATCACCATTGTTGCAGAATAAAGTAACTGTCAGCTTATTTAATGTTAATATATGAGGTTGAAGAGATTGTGATGTAGCTAGCAGTGTTGCTACAGAAGGATTTCAGACATCAAAATTACTTATTGCCATTTTAGAACTGTATCAAGAGACACTGTATTGCAAGATTGTGCCACAAATATAACTTTTAAATGTAATAGGCATTTAACAAATGTAATAGAACTTGAAACTGAAGATGCTGTTTCTTTCAGTATTTTATACAGGGGATCTTGCTAGGGCTTCTAGAATATTTCCAACAAGCCCAGGCTAAGGATATGTATTTTCACTGCCAATTTTCCTGTATGATCTTTAGTTCCTTTACAATATATAGCCCTTTTGAACAGATGTTAAGTTACATGTGGCACAATCTAAGGAATTGTTTAGAAATGAAAGACAAATTGATGGTTTTGATTTACTACTTTCCTGAAGCTTAGCAACGTGCTGCTACAAGCTGCACGGCTGTTTTCTTCACATTTTAAGCTATCGGTGAAAATGCAGAAAGGCCGATGTGTGAGTTACTCCAGAGGGGTTGGAGATCTAACTATAGTTAAAATTATGCCATGTGGTTTTCTAAATTAAATCATTTTCAGTGCCAGTTGTCCTTACTCATCAGTTCATTCCCTTTCCTAGTAAAGGTAAATGAAACTCATGGTGTTAGAGGATTAGTATCTCTTTGATAGGTGTAAATATTATTTATTATTTATCTGTTTAAACTACCGTATTTTAACACACCTTTCTCCTTAAAAAGGACCCAAGGCAACAACTTACAACAACTAAAATACAGTATTTAAGCTAATAACAGATAGTATACAATACTAAAAGGATAAGTGAATACAATAGCAAAAAAGTAAGCAACATCAAAACACATTCAATGCAGTAAGGTACAACAATCCATTTTTAAAAACCCCACTTGGCAGCCATTCACTCAGGGAAACCTTGGCTGTCCACTGATACACTGAGCAGTTGGAGGATTCATCGTGAAACATAGAGGAGAAACATCCCCCTTTTTTGGTCCACAAGCCACACATTTGTAGACCATGGTAATTTTTCATAATCCAGTACTGCTGTTGTTCTTCATCATAAATAACTACCAACTGGGGAGTATTTAATTTTCAGTATATTGCAGGATAGTCAAGTAATATGTAAATAAGATTCAGTGGGTTCAAATATAGATCAGCTGGGTTAATAAGTGAATTTTAGGAAATTTGGGAAGTCGTAATGTATAAAGTTCTGGATAACATTCTACATAACCGTAGAATATCAGACTTTTATCTCTTTTAACCATTTTTAGCACACATATAAGAAAATGCTTTTGTCTGTGATGTGTAATTTTGAAATATAATAGGAGGACAATAGAACAGAAAGTCATTTAATCTTAGTCCATCTCTAAATGTTTTAGAGATCTTAGTCATCTCTTAGATATCTTAGTCATCTCTAGGAGTTCACAACTTCAAAATATTGTACTCAGATATTTGAGAGTACAACCGTGGGCATGTCTACATAGAAATAACACCTATTGGGTTCAAAGGCTTTGTTCCTAGATGACTATTTACAGGATAGCAGCCTTAAGTTCTGCATTAACAATGAGATGTGGTATCTTTCTGCAGGGTTTCCTTGGTGCACCTGGCATTCCAGGAATGGATGGACAAAAGGTGAGCTCCACACAATTTCTGCTCTGTTGTTTGTTTGTTGTTGTTGTTGTTGTTGTTGTTGTTGTTGGCGGCGGTGGCTTTTGTTGTTTCTAATGATAATGGTGTTGGTAGTGATACAGTGCAGTCATATAAATATCTACTTAGAGATGATTTCTATGTAATTCATTAGGACATTACTTTTTTGTAAGACTACAACTCCTAGAATTATAGCCAGTGGCCATGCTAGTTGGGATGTTCTGGGAGTTATAGTCCAGAAATATTTTCCTTGTTTTGACTTTTTTCCAAGTCAGTACTGTATGTGCTGAAATGTGGCCGTAAAGTGTTAGTTTTACAAAGCTGGCCAAGCAAAAAATTATTTCCCCTCCTAATTAACAAAAAGTGAGTCATTAAAATAAGTAAGTAGAAGAAACTCATTAAAATAAGTCTTGGCCAGTGAATTTAGGGATGCAAATACAAATGATAAACAATTGCAGCTGTGGAAATCATAAGCTAAAGCTGCTGGACTTGAAAAGTGCAATGGTGTTTTGCAATTTCAGTATTACTTGGCAACAAGAGTAGAAGAGTATCTAGAGAGATAAAAAAATCTAAAGAAGAAAATAAAATTTTAGGAAGAAGGTTCAGAGGAGGCCAAATGAACACATTAGACTGGAGGAAAGTGAGGGATTATGAAGCTAAATGGGAAAAGAAATAATCTTGTCTTAGATTGATGTATTTAATTGATAAATAATCCAGTTTCCACCCCTATACTGTCACTAAATTGTGTCACAGTTCATCATGACTGGCAGCTTGTATTCAAAGCCTTACTAAAACAGCAGGGGTTGTTCACATCACGAGTATAGGCTGTTGACAAATCTGTCGACAAAGTTGGCAAAACATTAGAAAAGTACTACACATCTGTTGTTCCCATGAACAACAACCTTTATATGCAGCTTTTTTTGCTAAATAGTGTGACTGTCATAGTATAATGGAGTCATTGCACTTATACTGGGACAAACCATTATATGCAACAGGATTATTTACTTCAGTGCATAAAATGCCATGCCAAAAATGTTAACAGTAACTACATTGTTTGAAGGAGTTGTCTATAGTAATCATATTTATAGCAACAAATGTGTGGATCTTGGCTGATAAAGAATAAATATTGGAGTAACTTGCGATTTGGATACAATATCTGTAAATCATGAAGATCATATAGTTGCAATATTGAAAAAAAAAATCCAGACAGACATTGTCCTTCTCAAGTTAGCATGAAATGAAAGATCTGTAACATTAAAATAGCATTCACATGTTGCTGTGTGAAGAACAATGTTGAACTCTTTCTGCCATCTTCTATTCAAGAGCTATCTAGATGAGCAGTTGCCACAGAACCCAGGTCAGGCCCCTTTGAGAACCCGCTCTGCCACCCTACCTGTCTTCAAGATGGGGACACTCAAGGAAGTGGTAAGAGGTGAGGGTGTATTGAACTCAGTGAGGTCTGCTTTCCTGCTCCTACACTCCAGTTCTCTGTTCTAGCAATGTCTCCTGGGGCTTTAACTCACAAATATGCTGCCACCATCCCCATAATTTCAAACCCTCTGTACCCCAAAATCCAACCAACAACCAGAAAGAATGTTATGTATTTTATTTGAAAAGAAAAGAATAAAGCAGTGAAAAAGAAAAGTTCCACACAGTTACTCAGAAATAGATTTCTCAGTCTAGTGGAGCAAAAGCAGAATACAGATTGAGGATGATTCAAAGAAGCAACCCACTGGAAAATAATAAATTCTAATCTAACCTATCCCATACTCAAATCTAAGGAAAATAGGCTGCAATGGACTTAGTTTATTCATGAGCAAGACCAAGCTGTGGAGAAGCAAACCCCCTCCCGTCAGAGGATGCTGAGGCTCAAAGACTACCTGCTTTTAACTTCCCTTTATACTGTACAAGTAAATGTGTCAATTTCTGTGGCTGGCTGCTACTCTTAATTACCTTTCATCCCTTGGAATCCACTTTTACCTCTTATTAGGACAATTGATCGTTTCCTCAATAGCTTCTTAATGACTCTTCTTCCCACTGCCAAAATCTACACACCCTGGTCCTGAAGCATGGAATGGAACTCAGGATGTCCAGTATACATACGTAAAAGAGAATTTTGAAATGTAAGATAGATATGAGAGCATTATCTTAGTCCACTTCAAAATATTCTCTGATAAATGACAAGAAGGTCAATTCCTTCTCTCAGTTTGTTCTTTGAAGGGTTTGAAAAAGGAAGGGCAGATGGGCATTGCCCCTTCAGACGCTGACCTTTTTCTTCCACAGTGGCCCAAGGACAGAATGGCAGGGCACAATTCTCTTGTTTGGTGCTTTGCTTTGCCTCCAAGCGTCTGTTGCCTGAGGAGATCTACCTCATATAAATAGTATGGCTGGCTCTGTGGATCCATATTGTACAAAGCTGATTCCACTCTTTGCTTCTGATTTTCCATTTGAAGGCAGTACTGTAGATACAGACATAAATGATAATCTAACATTTTCATCTTTCTCTGCATTCTTGATTTCATTTATACATTTTTTTCCAAATTGGGATTCAAACAAAATTAGCTACAGGATGCTGCTGGTAATGGCCTCTCAGCCTGGCTGCAACATCTGACAGAAGTAATTTAGCTTGTTGATAATTGCTAGGATCAATTTTTATTAGGAACATGAAACTTGTGTATAGAGATTTGCAGTGGGTGGCCCAGACCCACCTCTGTGAGTAGCCTTAAAACCAGAATATGGAAACATTATTTTTTCGATTAGAGATTCCAGTTCTTCTGCTATTGTGGGCACTGGCCATGTAAGTGGGGATTCTGAGAGTGGTTTTTTCATCATCATCATCAACAACAATAACTTTTTCACATTCTTTCTAGAAGTTACTGAAAGAGTATGGGTTGGATTCTCAGTGGTATTCCCATTCTTGCATGCTAGTGTTTAGATTTTGGCAGCCATAGATTAATGAGCCAGGGTTTACAAATTACATTTTGTAGCTAAGCAGACATAGATGAGAATTCTTCTAGCCAGGCAAAATGTCAACCTTGTCTGGAAACTTTCTGGTTTTCTTGGTCAGGAGAGTCAATAGATTGTCTAAATTGTCTTTAATAGATTTACAGGGAGTCATGAATGCCTACATATATCTTTGACATACAGGCCCACCATGATTGACTATCTGGGGCCACAGGACGAAAAATATGAGGGTTCTAGGCATATATAATCTGACATTTCCTGAGATAATGTATTCTTCACTAGTTTTGTTTAAAAAACAACTCCCCTATTTAAAGAAATGCTTGCCTTTTTCCCCAGCCAAAATCCAAGGTCCTGAATAAATGTTCCATATGCTTCGAGGCATTTTTCTCCTTTGCCTTTTAGTGATTTTGCACTCTTGAAAAGTTCACTTAGCCTCAAGTACCCTCCAAAGGAGAACCCAATCAAATGTAAGAGGCTACCATAGAAAGAGAAACTAGCCAGTCTCCATGTGTACATAGAAGAACTTTTAATACTTGTACATATGCAGGCCTCTTTGGATTGCAACCACTTCCTCTAAAAACAAACTTTCTCTGTTCAGCCATCACTCACCAACACTGATTAATAAGGCTATTCCCTTAGACTTTAACTTACTGAAACTATCTAAGCTGCTAACCATTGCTTCACCCTGTGGATAAGGCTATTCTCTTAGACTTTAATTTACTGAAACTAAGCTGCTAACCATTGCTTCACCCTGTGGTAATGAATTTTATGAGTTAATTTCAGTAATGATGATAATGCAAGTGAACAAGAATGTCTAAGAGCTTGAGTCTGTAAATTAATCTTCAGTCCTGTGTACCCCTTAATACTCTTCATGGGAATATGGATATATTTCTCTGTCAACTTTAAACACATTCTTATTTGAGTGCCAAGTATATATACTAACGGGAGAACTAGATGTATGATTGCACAACTAGTAGATATACTTGACCCCCAAATTCTTTGTTGTTAGAGAAATAGATGTATGATTGCACAGCATATACTTGACCCCCAAATTCTTTGTTGTTTACATAGATCAGAATAAAGCAACAATATTACACAGCCATACATATATAATCTATATGTAACTCTACAAAGATACTTTGTTTTGGCTCCTTCTGTTACTGATTTGTATGTCCCTCTATACACCTACTGGGTTTTAATTTTACTTCTTGGAATGTGAAAGGGAATTTAGCTTAGGAGGGAAAGCAGATGTACACATTTTAAACTACAGATATGAATTCTATAATAAAGCCTTAGATACAGGTAGAACTTAAAATGTCACCATGATTTGTGTTTAATTTTGTCATCACATACAGTATTGCTGTCAAGATGAGACATGTGAGAGATGTGTATTCCTCACCTCACCTTTAATAGTGAAGAGTGTTGGAAGTGACAGATCAGCACACATATCGAAAGCTGAATCACTTTTCACAGTTTGAAGACTAGTATGATTTTAAGAGAACTTGTTGGAATTGATCAGTTCAATTTCAAAAGAACAGACCTGGAACATTCTCAATGTTACGGGCTGTTAAGTGATCTCTTGCCCCCTGACTTAGCAGGATAACATCCATGTTAGGGCAGCGCTTTACTCTGTAGGCTTTCCACTGCAATGCAGATGACTATCTGGGTGACAGATTTAACTCAGTGCTGTAATTTTGAAAAACTGAAGAGAGAAAAACTTTCCTTGGACATGACGTTCTAGTTTTTAAGTACCATGGGTCCAAGCCTGTTTTAGCAGGACAGATAGGTTTCTCTTCTGCTGCAGAATAAGCAATGACTACTAAGTTGTTCACATGCTAGATGAATTGGAACTGAAAGATAGGAGCCATACTGTATACTGACATTGAAGAGTTAATAGTGTTCACACAGGTGTTCTTTTTAAATATTTGCCTTCTGTGTCTGGCAACATCCCAGCATTTCTAAGCAAAATTTTCCTGCCAGAAGGTTAATCCTTCAGATAGGGTAGGAAGCCAAGGTTCTGCCAGTTTTGTGAAATGCAAAGTATTGTTATGCAAGATGTGATGTCAAGTGAAGCTGGAATAACTGTAGTGCCTGACTTAATTCTTCCATTGTCCATTGCAGACGTCTGCAATCTCAGACTAAAGTGAAGGCCTTTTGAGAAATCAGTTTCCCCTTTCAAAAATAGACCTTCTGAACTGAAGCTGAGAGTTGCTGTGGGAGACCTCCTAGAATTTCTGGCCACATCCCTACAGATTTGATGATATTTACTACAGGTCTAGCATGCAAATGGAAGGCGTTTAAGAATGTGTGCCACTGGAAAGCTTAAACTGTTAGAGGTGTTATTCCTCAGATTCTGGAATAACTCTATGGAGTTCAACAAGAGGTCTCTCTGAACATGATCCTAAATACTATGTTTTTAATAAATTTTGAAAGAGTAAAATGTCTTATATAGAGAATTGCTATTGGACCTGTTTTGGATAAACCATAATAAAGAACAAAGGAGAGTTTCCGATGTGGTTGGAACTTTTAGCTAGTTGATAGATGACATGAACAAAATCTTCCAGTGTAAAATAAAAAAGTAGAGATTGCTAATCCTCATACCATTGTCACTTACTTATGACTCATCCTGAAAATTGAAAGCTCACCTTCCCAGTGTTATTGTGGTGGCCCCCAAAAAGGTACTGTCCAACTTTGCTTTTAGTAATATGAATTGCAGGGATTTGCTAAACATATCAAGGCACCTGGATTAAAAATAATTGATAACAGGTTTTCAGAAATGAGATCCATCACTCTTATCCCTTAGAAAGAGATCTGTGTATAGTTCCTCACTTCTCAATTTATGAAGAAAGATAAATTCTATTATTGTTCAAACTCCAGAGCATGTGGCTAATTCCATATGTAATGTATGTGACTGATAGCTAACATATTGGTAACTAGGTCCACAGATGCACAGGGAATGATATCATCAGGTTACCATTAAATGAAGAGTCCCTGCTTTGACTTTGGGTTTCGTGCGGCGCCGTCTCATTATGTGCAAGTCATGCAAAAGATAAATTCTATTATTGTTCAAACTCCAGAGCATGTGGCTAATTCCATATGTAATGTATGTGACTGATAGCTAACATATTGGTAACTAGGTCCACAGATGCACAGGGAATGATATCATCAGGTTACCATTAAATGAAGAGTCCCTGCTTTGACTTTGGGTTTCGTGCGGCGCCGTCTCATTATGTGCAAGTCATGCACAGCTCGAAATATATCATCAGGTTACCATTAAATAAAGAGTCCCTTTCGTGCAGCGCCGTCTCATTATGTGCAAGTCATGCACAGCTTGAAATCAAAGCAGGAACTCTTGCCAGTGATGTCATTCCAGATAGCGGGCAGACTTACACAGCAACATCCTGGTCATTCCATTGATGTGATGCATATGGGTGTTGAAGGCCTGAAACAGATGCATGTTAGTTCGAGTTCGATGGCATCCTTCAGTCTCGGAACTCTTGCTAGTGATATCATTCCTGATAGCGGGCAGACTTACACAGCAACATCCTGGTCATTCCATTGATGTGATGCATATGGGAGTTGCAGGCCTGAAACAGATGCATGTTAGAATAAACTGCTATATCCATTATCTGCATTGTTGTCTGCTATGCTGGGTCAATATGCTAAACCTGGCCTGGTAATATGTGGGTTTACATGTTTGCCCAGTCACAAAAAGTACTGGATAACCTGGATCAGGCAGTTTACCTTAATCTTAGGATAAGTGAGGCATAGGTCCATGTAAATCACATTTTAATTCTAACAATTAAATTAAGTAGCCCCTGCTACCACTCACAGTATCTTTTGGAGGCAGGTCAGTAAAACAGAGAGAACATGTCTAGCCAAAAGTCAGTCATTGGGTTTTATGGCCAAGTGGGGACTTGAACCTGGTTATCTAAGACCCGATCCAATACTCTAATCACTCAGTTGGTCCATGCATGCTTAAGCTTTATCCTCCAGTCAAAACACTGGAAGTTCCAGGTCATAAATAGACACTGTTGGGGTGAATGCACAGAGATTGGGAGAAGAGCTGACTCCCTCATACACGGACTAGAAAATAATCCCAGTGATGCACTTACAGTATATCTCACTGAACACAATGTGAAAAGCTAGTAATGACCAGGTCTAACTGATTCAAGTGTGACCTTAAAGCACAGTTGACTAACACAGTTTTTATCTGACCCATGGAGTACTGAATTGTTATCTGAACAGAGCTTGAGTTTCAGGAGAAATATGTTGTAGGAGCAACAAACTGATTAACCGTTTTTTAAAAAAATGTACCTGTAGATGTGGGGTATATGGTAGCTTTAATTTACCATTGCCCTTTCAATATTTATTTGTTAGTGTTAGTTCTACAAAGACTTTTGTACAGTATTATTAATAATACTGGGCATAGAATTTCCTTGCCCAGAAACAATTTCCTTTTTTCTTTTCTTTTAATGGTTTAGTTTTACTTGCATATAAATTAATACCATAGATTATTAAAAGTAGAAAGCAAAAGGGACATCTCTGCCTAGAGTTCACAAATTCTCAGATAGGTTTTGTGGACCATCTCAGTATTGTTGAAAAGCCCTGACACTTACTTTCACTTGTTGAGTCGGTCAGAAGTGCTTTCCGACCTTAAAACAAATAATTTAAAAATCTCAGGCAGGTGGGAAGGAGAGATGAAAAACAAGTTAAAAAGAGGTAATTCAACAGTGGCTTGAAATTGGGGTTAGACAGAAAACATATCTTTAAAAAAAATTATTTCCCTGCCTTGCTTACAAAGTTTATAGGCTTTTTAAGTGGTTAGATTAGGGTTGGGGTGGGATGAGACAACATTATTTCCTTAGTCTTAAAATGAATATACATTCTGTTGGCTGCAAATATAAATAGGAAGATACAGTCAATTGTTTTAGGAAAGATGTAAAATTTGTTATAGGAATAATGTGACATTTGCTTTTATGGGCGATGTGATCTCAGGACACAGTCTCATTTTCTGGGTAATGAAATTAAGTGCTTACAGACAAAAAATAGCTGGAGCATTTTCAAGTATTGAGAAGGGCAGCCTGTACGGACCTAAAAACCTGTGTCAGAACCTGCAACTCTACTGAAATTTGAGTTTCTCCATTTTCATTTTTAAAACAAGTTCCTCAGATCTGCCCATGAGAGAGACATGTGCTTTAAGTACGTCTCAAGAATCAAACCTAAAGGACATGTTTCTTAAATCAGAAAGTTAGTGGGAAAAGTTTTTGCAATCAACCAGTGAATCAATAAAATATTGTGGTTTTTTTTTAGTAAAATAGCTGACTCAGGATTTTCCATCAGAGCAATAATTAAGCATTTTTCTTACTTGGGGCAAACAATACTGATTCCGCCCACTCAGTTCTGAGGCATGGCACAAAGCCCCCATGAAAAAGGAGAAGGAGAATGTGATATCTCTGCCAAAGGCAGAGAAATTTGTACAAAAGTGAACAGAGGTGGAACTGTCATTTATTTCTCTAAATCTTATCATAGATTCATTTCTAGATTTAGGCATTCTCTAAATTCTGTATTTAAAGAACAGTCTTGGAAGAGTTGAGATGTGCATCTCGCTTGATTTTTGCATTCCACATTCAGAGTAGTAACTTGGTATACTCTAGTGTGGAATTTTGTAAGGACAACTCAGATGTTTGTGGCATCCAATTCTGCTCCCAATTTTGTACCGGTTCTATAATACTTCAGTTATCTCCCTCCCTCTTTCTGTCTCACACTCACACACACATATTTATTTTCCAAATTTATCAGCCACTATTCCACAAAATGTTGAGGCTAAGCTGTGAATAAAATTCATGGAACTTTATATTATAATTTCAGATTTCTGTTTACTGTAGACACACTTCTTAATATTCATGTGTTATTTATCTATGGGTTCTGCTGATACAGGACCATATCACGATTCCTTTATTGTCATTGTAGGGTGAACCGGGTGTAATGGGGGAGAGAGGACCTCCTGGACTTAAGGTTAGTAAAGAAAAGCAGTGTTATTTTTCTCTCTGTTTTCTGGTTGTGCATATAAATTGCCTTATTGCTGTTAACACAATTATCATCGTAGGCTATGAGTAGAGATCGGGTATTCGTATTCACATACAAATACAAATATCCCCACTCAGGTGGACTTAACAAGTGTCTGGCCATGTGTTCGGTGGCAGTGGCCTTGCTCATCCTTCTAATCACGCAAATATCCCCACTCAGGTGGACTTAACGAGTGTCTGGCCCCTGGGACCAGACCATCCTCCCATGTGTTCGGCGGCAGTGGCCTTGCTCATCCTTCTAATCACTCCTGGAGTTTTGCTCTCTTCCCGCTTGACTAGCCACTCCAGGCAGGAGGAGGACCGGAAGTGATATACGGTACATCTGCCACCTTTTTCTAAATTGTTCCATCACCGGAAGTGATATATATCTGCCACCTTTTTCTAAATTGTTCCATCCTTTTTCTAAATTGTAATGGCCCTGCAGTTCTCTCTCTCATTGTATCAGCCATGCTGGTGTTTTTTTCTGGATGTACATCTGCCTCTCAACAGAATTTGCACACTGTTTGCTTGTATGACAGCTAATTGGTCAAATGGTAACAACTGCAGGTTGATTCTTTGTCCATCAGAAAAGAAGATGAGCCTTTTGCGAACAGCTGTATCTCACTTTAGAATCCCAGTGATGACACTTGATGTGTAATTAGTTTTCCACAATGGTACATTTTAGGAATCAATTGCCATCTAATAGGATTTGAATGAGCTATAGTGGTTAGGTTTGTACAAGATGAGCAGGGGCAGGTTCAGAAGATTGAAAGAATGTGCCAGTTTGTCAGGATGTCAGTAATTTGAAGAACAACATGTTTAAGCTCCCTTAAACCCTCTGGGAATACATAAAGGCCTGCTGGACTTCAGCACCTTGAGAAGAATCCTTAATCTGTAGACTACCATTTACTAAAACTTCCAGATGCTCCTCTAAGGGTCATTCCCCATCCCTTGTTCCCCATGGAGCAGGAGCAAATCCTGACATTGAGGCACACCTTTTACTCAGAGTGACAGTGTGTGCACATGTAAATGTGAAGGAGTATCAGTGCATATCACAGGCCTAAATTCAGCCATTTCTTCCAACTAGTGTACACATATTAGCCAAAATCCTTTTGTCTAGCTATACAAATGATGTAACCTTTGGAGGCAAATTGTCCCAACTTTGCCCCATTTTAAGAAATTATTATAGACATTATCAGCTGCACACTGATTTGCACAAAACTAATAATGTCAGCAGTGATTTTATAACTTGGGGCAGTTAGCCGCCAAAATGTACATTATTTGCGTTATCCTGGCATAACTATGTAAAAGGATTTGGGCTAATTGATGACTAAACACTTATATAAATCCCATTGGTTCAGTGAGTCTACTTCAGATGAAACTCTCCTTTATTTGCATCATTTTGACTGTAATTCTGTGTATTGTTAAATGGGAGTAAGTTTTATGGTGCTTACTTCTGAATGCAAATCTGCTACTTATAAAACAGATTATGCTTTAATAACATATGCCTAAACTGAAATGCAGCCTTAGATGTGACAGCACTGTGATGTAGAAGCATTAATGATCTGAAATCTTATTTCTGTCTTTTCTTTAGGGTGATCCTGGCCACCGTGGGGAAAGGGTGAGCTCCACATTTCCTTTAAGAACATATTTTAAGATTTATTTCAGAAATGTTGCAAAGTTTTCCATTGCTTTCTGAAATACAGAGAACTGTAGTTTAATATTGTTTTACTAATCATGATGCTAAATCGCATTTCAGATTCTGGTCATCAAATAGACATTAAACACAGTTCATTTTTTTTCAAGTTGAGTAGTAAACTGCTTTGAAAAGACTAGTGTCGAAGTATCAGGGCTAGCCTGCTTATTCCAAGCTTTATAAGCTACATTATAGAATCATAAAGAACTTTCAGTTTATTTATTTATTTAAAATGTGTATATGCTACCTTTCTCCTGAACAGGAAAAAGGCAGCAAATAAATATAAAAGGAGTTAATGTGGTGTTTATTCCCTTGTTTGCATTTATCCATTTTTCCCACATATTGTCTATCTATGCGCATCATGTAAGTTGTGCTGCGAATATCACTAATCCAGTGGTTTATCTTCTGTCGAAGATTACTTTTCCATCAATAATTGCAAAAAGTGACATTAGGATCTGAATATATATTTTAAAACTACAATATCTTATTTGTAGATTTATCTGCTGTTTAGTGTATTATTCAGTACAGTGATAGCATATTTATATTTCCTCACTTAGTAAACATTTTAGATTAGTTGGATCCACAATTTTGTTGCCTGCCTATTCAACTTTCTCATTTTTAAACTGTGTGTTTTTATTGAGTGGTCAAGATACATATCTTTAAAGACTTAGCACTTCAATGAAGACAACTGTGATACTTCACAAAAATGTGGCCTTTTTCTAAATAATAGCAGATACTTAAATAAGTGATAAGACATATGTCGTACCATTTTCTTTTCATTAAAAATCTGTGTCTGAATTTGATTATTTTTTAAATTGTAACATTTTTTTCTAACTGAAATAATTCTTTTATCATACAATTTTATTTTTGTAATATATAAGCTCCCAGGACTAGTATTAGAGCTCTTTTCAAAATTGCAATTAAAACCATAAGTATACATTTTAAAATCCTAATAGTTTTATGTTGATATTTAGTGTGAAGCAGCTGGTATGTGAAAACATTAACAAAAACTCAAAACATTTATTTTATTTTTAGGGCGATATTGGGGAAAGTGGACCCAAAGGTGATGCAGGAGAAAAGGTACAGTTCATACTGAATATTGAATTTTAAAATGGTAGTAGGAAAATACCAGGTTGGAAGAGAAAGTATAGAACAAATAATCAGTTTTCCCCCCCTTTAAACAGTAATGGTGATTGTGTAACTGTTCCTTGACCCCTGTGTTTATGGTTACAAAAAATATTTGGCTAATCTATGTGTGTGTCCTTTATGCCATCAAGTCAGAACCAACTTATAGCAACCTTAATATGGCTTTCATGGTAATTGAGATATTTTAAAGAGTGGTTTTACCAGTTCCAGTCTCCCAGTGAGTTTCCATGGCCAAGTGGGGAACTGATAAAACCACTCTTTAAATATCTTGAAAGCCCTATTAGGGTTGCTATAAGTTGGTTCTGACTTGAGAGCACAGAACACACACACACACACACACACACACACACACACACACACACACACACACACACACACACACACACATACATATTATGGCAGAGGTGCCACTTTCCTTGCAGAAAGGAACTCTACCACTGGTGAGGAATCAACATGTGCCTCTGTCACCTCAATTATTTCCACGGAAAAGTCTATTGAGTTAAATCTACCAGAACCAGAAGGGAGGGAAATTGTGGTGAGAAGAAGCTGAAGACAATAAATATTAATTAATTAATTAATTAATTAATTAATTAATTAATTAATTAATTAATTAATTAATTAATTAATTAATTAATTAATTAATTAATTAATTAATTAATTAATTAATTAATTAATTAATTAATTAATTAATTAATTAATTAAT